CAAAGCCTTAAAATTATGAAAGTTTCCTAATTATTTCCAGAAAGCTAAGAGATGTGTAAATCCAGAAAAGTTTTGAAATAAGTTCCATCTTCCTTACAATTCAAAACATGCTATGCAACATTCATGTACACACCTGTAACTCCTAAAGTTTTGGCCAAAGGTAACTGCAACCCTGCACATTTTTAATCACAATTGTCATAACCAATGCAATAAAAATAGGCGGCAAGGCTGATCAAGATGGTCAAATGTCTCTGTATGTCACAGCCTGCAGTGACTTTGCAATAAGAGGGAAAGTTTTCACGAGGCAAAAATGGTGCAGCACAGGCCTCCAGAAGATCAACAACATTGGTTTGCGTCATATCTTAAGTCTACAGAAGTGTTTTTAAAGAGCCTCAAATGCTGTTTGCTGCCTATTCCAAAACTATGTATCTTGTGCGGAGTCAGAAAAAGATCTGAATTTTAAAGCAACTTTGTTTCATGCGAGAGTATATAAAATGCCCCAAGGACAAAAGCAAAGTCCTCTTCCTTTGTAGGCTCAGGCATTACCTGGCACAAGGTCCAGCTTTCATACAGCAGGTGCCCAATAAGTGCTGCTGGATTCAGTTGCTTCTTACAGCACATTCTTACAAAACAAATGAAACCAGATTTAAAAGGAAGCTACTGTCCCTTAGGACTTCCCTTGGCAAAACTCTAAGGCAACAAGTGAAAATGATACAGTTGATTTTCATTACTGCGCTGATATTGCAACAATAAGACCAGCAGGAAACATTTTTATTAGTAAACTAAGCCTTAGACAAAGACTAAAAACAAATGTAAACAACAATTATTCTCTAGATCTTTTCCTATTAAAAGGCCAAGGTAAATTTGGATAAAGGCATAATAGTTTAAAAACAAAAAATGCCTTTGCTATATTTTTAAATCTTGTTCCATAAGAAATTTTAAGTTTTTTTAAAAAAATTACTGTGTCTGAAACTACTGTCTCCTGCGAAGATCCTTCTTCCTGCTCAGACTCTAAAGCTGTGTAAGAAATAAAATTGGCAACAAAGAAAAACACCCCACTATATTAAAATGAACAGTTCATCCTCAGTCTTTACTACCAAGATGGTTAATATGGGATCTCAAAAAAGAGAGTGGAAATTCCTTACGATCTTAAAACACTACATTATTTCTCTGTTGGAAAACATATGTAAGAAAATTGGAAATACAAAAACCCATCCAGACTCAGCTCCTAAATTCTAACCCTGGAAAGACCAACATCGTTTCAGATTCAGTTAAGGATTTTACTGTCACAGACCTGACTCACAAGCATTTGTGTTTTTTCAATCCAACCCCTCAATCCTTAACTTGAACTACGTATAACCAAGATTCCTTTCTCCCTTCTGTTCATTTCTCCTATGACTGAACTTTTTCAATAAGATAGTCACAATGTTTAAAGTGCATGTGATTTAAAAAAAAAAAAAAAGCCATGAGATTGACTATCACTCATGAGCTTCAGTTATCAGTTTGCTGTATTGCTGTAGTTCATGGATCTGAAAACCTCCATAAATAAAACAGACAGACACCAATCTGCTGTACAAATTTACCTAATAGTTTTAATCTAGCTTCTATGTTGAAACTAACAGAATGCATTCTTTTCAACATTAGCGTATTTCTTTAAAAAAAAAAAGGTCTCTTGGGATATATTTCACATACCATAAAAGTCACTACAGTGTACAATTCAATGGTTTTTTAGTTTATTCAGAGTTGTGCAACCAGCACCATAATCTAATTTTAGAATATTTTCATCACCCCAAAAAGAAACCCCGTACCCATTAGCAGTCACTCCCCATTCCCTCCTCCCCCAGCCCTAAGCAATCACTAATCTACTTTCTGTCTCTATGGATTTGCTTATTCTAGACTTCATATAAATGGAATCATACAATATACGGTCTTTTGTGACTGGCTTCTTTCACTTAGCATGATGCCTTTAAGGTTCTTCCAGTCAACCTTAGCATATTTCTTAAGGCTAGACTTTTCTAATACTTCTGAAAAATCAAACATACAACCTTTTGAACTTCAAACCCTGACCCACACCCCATCCCTCCTCAAAAGCAACATGTACTTGCTATTTCCCTCTGGAGAATATAAACTATAATTTGCTATTTAGGTTCTTTCCAAACTTCTTATTCTGGGTTCTTCTTCTGGTAATAAAACACCAACTTCTTTAAACACCAACCTTTCACATATCTATATTTCTCTGACAATAGGATATGACTGTGCCTGGGGCAGAAAGATGACTGAATCCTTTTAATAGGATGGCCACAATATGTTTAAAGCGCACGTTGATTTAAAAGAAAAAAAAGCCATCAGATATTTTGGCTATCACTCATAACTTTCAAACCTCTCTTACTTAGATGCTCTGTTCACATTATATTGACACAAAACAAACGTGTCTGTATGACTTCATTTGCTTCAAGAACTTCTAAATTTTCCAGGTTAAAGATAAAGAAATCACCCTACTGCTGTCGCAGGCAAACATGAAACACTAATCCCTAAATATACCAATGCAATACGGAACCAACACCACCCCAATCTTTATTACTCTACTAGACAGCCAAAAGAATGTCAGTCTCTGATAGGACTCAGTTTATTTCTATCAGAGTTAAGTGTTCCAGCACCTTTTGGACTAAAAACTGAACTCACGCTCACATTGAGCATATCATTTACTCCTCAAAACTTCAGAGCTGTAGGGAGGGGCAGGTACTAAGTTGGAACTTCAACAAACCATAATCAGGATTCGGGTCCCTTCTGGCCATCCATCAGGTTTTCGGGAACCAACCACTTCAAGGCATCCTTTAGAAAAGCTTTGGCTACTGGGATTATAAACATACATTAAAATACCCCTTCCCCTCCTGTCTGTTTTCTCAAGAAAGAGCCGCCTTGCACAAAGAATATTTCTCATGAAGAATCGCTTCAAACAGCAAGACATCCTATTTTAAAATGCCCGACTCCTGCCTCGGAGAAGCAAGGCCATCACTGCCATTGTGAATTTTGGAATTTACTAACATTAAATAATAAAACTAGAGACGCTACACAGTTCAATAGCTTGCCATAATAAAATGGATTAACTCTCCTGTGTCTTCTAAACTATATTTAGCTTTGAAAGGCTAGAAACCCTCCTCTGTCCCCCCAAACACCATCTGTAAGCCTTAGAAGGGAGCCGAAAGCCTTTCGCCCAATCCAGTGAGCTGAAAGTTTAGAAAACAAAGAGCAGGAGAGCTCAGATTTGTGGAAGGTCCAGCCTCGATCTGTGCCGTCCTCCACGCAGTAAACATGCTAAATCTATAAAAGTCTGCTCTTACTCCATCATGGACTCATTTCTTACAAGACGTTTAAGGGTTTGTACATACAAACAGCCGTTCGGATTTGCCCCCTTGATGGGGCCAGACAGCCCCGCTGCCTCTTGATTCTCTCCCTCACTCTTCAAGGCTCAGTCGTGATTTTTCAAAGTTAACTGGCACCACCTGCATACCCTCGGCAAACATTACTCACCAACACACCCTCACGGTTCCCAGCCCCAGTTCTGCGACTGCATTTAAACTTGAATCGTGTTCAAGTTCCCCACCATTGTGAATGTACCAGTAAGCCACCTTTTAAATTTCTGAGAAGAGTAAAACCCCCTCCTCCTCCTCTCTCCACACACCGTGGGGCCCTAAGTTCTCCCTCCTTCCGCGCGCTTCCCTACCCCTACCCGACACTACCAAAACAAAAGCTATCTGATTGCCAGCGATAGCGAGTGTGGAGCGATATTGTTTATTAACTATGCACAAAGGAAGTGCGGAGCGGGGGGAGGGGGACAACACAACTCTGGCCACAAAACCAAGGCCAGGGCTCCGCGCTCGAAAAACAAAACACCCTCCTCCCCACCCCCCGCCGCCACAGACCCTGGCGCTCCTTAAACCACCGCGCACAACACCTCTCGCCAGGGCCAGGCGTGTAGGTGTCCCCTGCACGGCCCTGTGGCGGCAGCTACACCCCCGCGTTTCGAGCACGTGTGTGGAAATGCACGTCGGCCCGATCACACACCCACTCCCGCATACTCGGACGCTGCCCTACCACCCCTGAGCCCCGCCAGGAGGAGGAGAGGCGGCCACTGGCCAAGCAAAAACTGGGAGAAGGTCCCAGCACCCTCTAAACTAGGGGCTCGGGACGCGCTCCTCGGAAGAGCCTGACTGAAGCAGGGCCCCCAACCTCGCATCTTTCCAGGGGCTACATGGAGGCTGGGGGTTAGGCAGGAACGCTCCCCCCACCCCTGAGGCGCACAGAGCAGCCCTGGGAAGCTGGGGGCAGGTAACTCGCCGCCGATCGGGCGAAAATGACGGGAAAGGCCAGGAACCCAAAGAAGCCAAGGGGCAAAGCACATTGGGAGGCAGGAGGCCGCGCTGGGACGTTCGGAAACGTGTCCCGGAGCTGCGGGGCCTCTCCACCCGGCACCACCCCCTCGGGGGCAACTTGCACCCCACGAGCCGGTGAGCTCCCCGCACCGGGAACCGTGTCTGCCCCAGCAGCGAGGGCGCCGCGCGGCCGACTGAGCTGTCACTGCCGTCTGCGCGCTGCGCGGGGGCCAGCGCCGGGAACGCAGCGGCCCCGAGCGCCGGGAGGGGGCGAGGTGCGGGTGTCCGGGCCCGGCCGGGCGCGAACTTCCCCGACCGAGTCCCAGCGCCGGTCCGGTCCGTGGGCCGTCGGGGAGCGAGCGCTGCCGAGTCAGCCGGCCCGCGGGGCAGGGCTCTCGGGACAGCGAAAGAGAAAGCCCCCAAGGCTCTGCCCGCGCGGCGATGCGCTGAGCCCGGGCCCCGGAGCCGCTCGGGCCTTCTGGCCGGGCCCCTCCGCGCCCCGCCCCACCGCTCCCGGGCCCGGGGGCCCGACAGCTGCGACGATGGCAACTCGGGTTTCGCAAACAGGGTGCAGCCCCTCGGAGGAAAAGTTCCCGCAGTGGCCGCGGGCGGCGGGCACATACTCACTTTCTCCACTCGTCGGCCAGAGCGAGAGCGCGGCGGAGAAAAACAGGAGCCCCCACAGCGAGGTCGGGGACCCTCCTCCGGAGCCAGACTTCATTCCTTTTATTTGGGACTAAATTCCCCTTTCTCCAAAAAAAAAAAAAAAAAAGAAAGAAAGGAAAGGAAAAGAAAAAGTCTCAAACTCAAGTCTTCGGCCCCCTCCAAAACCCAGGGCGAAGGAAACAGTCCTCCAAAGGCGGCGCCGGCCGGGGCCCG